AAAGCATCTGTCTGAGTTTGAAGATGGTTAAAGATAACCCAGCCAAACCCCATTCTAGCTTCTGTTTATTTAAAAGGCGGTGGCACGGCTGCTACAAAGTCAGCGCCTGACTCTACCCTGGCGCTTCTGATTACTTTCTGTGGTCAGTAAATGAGTCTGAAACTGGAAAATGGGGCTGTCATGTTTTGGAAATGTTTGGGATCCTTCCTGGTTTCCAGGGCAGCGCAACAGGAGCTTAAAGACACCATGTCCTGCACCAAATAAAACAATGTCATGACTGAGAAGGCCAGCCAGTCAATAGGTGACTAACAAGAGGCCATCCTTTCCATGGGAAGCTGGAGGAAATCTTTCAAAATGCCCCCCCCCTTACTGTTCTTGTGTCACAGAAGTAGAAGAAGAGAAGAGATTGGACTTATACCCCGCCCTTCACTTGGAGTCTCAGAGCGGCTTACAGACTCCTTTCCCTTCCCCTCCCCACAACAGACACCCTGTGAGGTGGGTGGGGCTGAGAGAACTCTTGACAGAAACTGCTCTTTTTCAAGAACAGCTGTGCCAGAGCTTGTGACTGACCCAAGGTCACATCAGCAGGTGCAAGTGGAGGAGTGGGGGAATCAAACCCGGCTCTCCCAGATTAGAGTCCGCACACTTAACCACTACACCAAACAGAAGAGACACATAGATGTGAAAATATGTTAGGGTTAGAGGAAGCTGTACAGAGGAGGGGGCAACTAGTGGAAACTGCCTTCTGCTTTGTGTTGGCAGAAGTGCTGATTGCTTATTCAAGGGATGGGTTAGATCTAAGCCAATAAGGCTGTCTTCCTGTACCCAAAATGTAGGGTTGCATACCCTGACATGGGAAATTCCTGGGGATTTGGAGGTAACTCAGCAGGGATGTGATATCAGTCTAGGTCTTCTGTTTCCTTTAGGCTCTACTGTATTCCACAGAATACACATTTCCTCCAGGGGAACTGGTCTCCATAGTCTGGAGAGATGTTGTCATTCTGGGAGAATTCCAGATCCCACAGTGAAGTTAATACCCCTACTCAAGTCACTTTTTTGTACTCTGTATTTTATTTTTACAATCACTAATGTGGACAAACCCCATTCATAGGGCTCCATCGTATTTACATGGAGCCGCCCTTGACAACACTTTAGAAGTTGCAGCTAATGCAGAATGCTGCCTGGTGGTGTGTGAGGCCAGGCATTTTAGATCCTGGCTCATTTGGCTCCCTCTGCTGACCAAAAGCTTGAACTGCAACTGCATACTTTAAGGTTAGCCTTTTTCTAAGAGGTTGCCTAGTAGCATTATTTTTAAAGCTATTATCACAAACAAACAAACAAAACAAATTATTTGACCATTGCAACTAGACCAGAAACAGAATTTGCTCATACTACCTGGATGCCTCCAGAAATATTAGTGTTTGACTCCAGGTAGGAAAACATTATTTAAAACATCGATCAGCTGCTTTTCTACCTTGCGGAACTCAAGGTGGCTTATAATGTAAGTAAAACAACAATTATAAAAAGACATAAAAGACTACTATTTAATTAATTGTCTATTAATTGTCTGTGGTCAGTAAATGAGTCTGAAACTGGAAAATGTAGCTGTCATGTTTTGGAAATGTTTGGGATCCTTCCAGCAGATCACCTGACTGCTTGCAGCCCTTATACCAGTAAATTTTGGACAAGAGGGAAGGCAAACTTTGGACAAGGGGGAAGGTCCTTCTCTCTGCTTGTCCACTGGATGTATATTCTCAGCATTGCAGGCAATGATTCCTGCTGGGAAACAAGTAGGTTTGCCAGTCCAGTGCTGGATACTGGCCAGACACTGGGAGGAGACCTGGTGAAATGGCATTGCGCAATGTTGCAGTGCCACTTCCAGCTGCATAACCAGATGTGAGATGTCACTGCATTGTGTGGCACTCTAGGGTTCCCCCAAAACTCTGTGGTAAAAACCACTGAGATAAGGGAAATTCCTAGAGCATCAGGCAACGTTCCAGCATCACTTACAGGTTCTGAAACAGAAGTGATGTCATGTCCCCCCCACCTTTCCCCCTGTTCCATTGAGTACTAGCAGGAGGACGGGGAGTGCAGGTGAGAGTTTCCCCACTGGCTTCTGGCAACCCTAGAAACAAGCTCTTAGCAGGTAAGTCAACTAGTAAAGGTAAAGGTTCCCTTGCTCGAAAGCCAGTCAAATCCGACTCTAGGGTTGCGGTGCTCATCTCCGTTTCAAAGCCGAAGAGCCAGCGCTGTCCGAAGACTTTTCCATGGTCATGTGGCCGGCATGACTAAACACCAAGGTGCACGGAACGCTGTTACCTTCCCACCGAAGTGGTACCTATTTATCTACTTGCAATTTCTTGCTTTCAAACTGCTAGGTTGGCAGGAGCTGGAACTAGAGATGGGAGCTTACTCCGTCATGCGGCACACTCAGGTCTCGAACTGCTGAACTACTGACCTTCCACAGCCTGCAGTTCAGCGGCTTAACCACTTGAGCCACCGCAGCTCCAAGTCAACTAGACCAGAACATTATTGCTGGCTCCCAGTTTTAGTCCATGGAACACCTGCACGTGTTGTTCACGGGATGAAGCCTGCTCCCTCATTGGCTGTTGGAATAGAACTTTGGATTTATTTGTTTTTCAAAAGGAAAAGAGGTAGTTGGACAGTTGGAAGAAAGAAGGCAGCACAAAGGTTTAGAGGTACTTGTTTAGAGTTCAATTTGCTTTGTTTAAGATAGAACAAAAGAAAACAAAAATTAAAATGGGATTTAACAGTGAAATCTTGAGCTAAATGTCTTGGTTTTTTAAAAAGGTTAGACTGGGGTAACTACATGGAATTTGAGTAGCTGTGATTTCCGGGGCCCAAATGTCATGTAGGAATTCAACAGGTGGAGCCTGGCATGACAGGTTTAAAAAATTGTAAGTTTTCTTCTCCTTGTCCAGCTTCTGTGTTTATTTGCTTGGAGAGCATGAATACTTCCAAACATTGCAATGAATAGCAGCCTCTTCCTTCATCTGATTGTATTTGAGTTTAGAATCTTATTCTGGATAATTCATATGGTAACTATGTTAGTCCGTAGCTGGAGAATAATTCTACTGGCATGATCTTAATTTTCAAGGTGCCAATGAACTCCTGTTTTGGTATTCTGTGTGGCCACACAGCCTCAGTTTCCCTTCTACAACAGAGGGATTTTTTTAAAAAAGACATGACATCTAATAACCAATGTAACTGGACTAAAAATACTATGCCTGTTGTCTTAGGCTCAGATGACACGTGACGACATTCTTGTGGCCACAATGAGGGCACTGTTAACATTTTAAAGTGGTTTTTTTAATGCAGCAAGCACAGCTGGCTTAGGGGCTTCCCCCCACCAGCCTTATCCAGTACCAAAAGCGCCCCCCCCCGCTCTTTTGGTACTTGATAAGCGGCAGGGGTGGGAAACAAGGGCCAAGATGCAGGCCTGATCAGGGCTGGGCTCTCACAGCATTTTAAAACCAAATTAAAATGATAGCAACGTCTTTATGGCAGCCCTGAGAACGCTGTCATGTCTACTTTGGCCCTTATTCTAAGCAGCAGCTCTCCAGGTTCTCAGGCAGAGGTCTTTCACATCACCTGCCACAACCTGAAAAAGACACTGTCCAGTCCCTTTCATAGAGGCGTTACATGTGGAACTGGGCCGGTGAAGCTTTTCGTGGCGTGGCTGTAGATAAACATCCCCTGTAAAATGATATCCCATTAAGCATCTGTTAAGGGGAACAGGATATCTTTCTTCTCCAGGATGTTGGCAGTCCTACCTCCTACCTGGTCTTTTTAAGTGGAGTTTGACATTAGATCCTTCTACATTAGAAGGAGATATTAAGTTACGTAGAGATTCCAGCTCTGGTATGGGAAGTTCCTGGAGATTTGGGGGTGTGGCCTGGGAAGGGTAGAGTTTGGGGTGAGGACGGACCTCAATGGGGTGTAATGCCACCGAGTCACCCTTCTAAAGCCGTTCTCCTGGACAAATATAGTCTGCAGATCAACTGTAATTCCAGGAGGCCTCCAGGCTCCAACTGGAGGTTGGCTGCCCTAACAGGGTTCCCAGCCTGGAATTATAACCGAGGAACATCGCCTGGAGGAAAATGTACGTTTGCAGGGTGGACTCTATGGCATCACATCCCCACTGAGCCCCTTCCCTTCCCCAGCACGAACCCCAAATTCCCCAAGTCGGAGGTGGCCACCTGACTACAGACTTCCCCACCTACCTTACTTGGCTGCTGTAAAGACTCCTATCATAACGGGTGTGAAATACGTTGGAACAATGAAAGTTTCACTCCTTATGAACAGCAGCAATAATAATAGCAGAACACAGTCCAGGGGCACCTTTAAGATCAACAAAGTTTATTTCTGGATATAAACTTTCGCTTGCAGACACACTTCTTCAGAAAGCTTATACCCCGAATTAAACTTTGTTGGTCTTAAAGGTGCCCGGATTCAAACTTTGTTCTGTTGCTTCAGACCAGCACGGTCGGCTACTCCCTCGAATCTAGCCATAATAATGACAATTTGTCACCCCAAAACATGGAGAATTCAACGCACTGCAATGGAGAACCAGAACCCTAGATTAATTTGCCACAAATTTTCACACAAACACCCTCCTCCACCCCAAAACATGGAGAATTCAACGCACTGCAGTGGAGAACCGGAATCCTAGATTAATTTGCCACAATTTTTCACACAAACATGTCCTGCGCATTCTCATTTAGCTACAGACCTTTTAAAAAAGCCTCCCGCGCGCGCGCTCTGACTCTCTAGGCGTTCGATGTCTATCCCCTGAACACTGAAGGGCGATTTATTTCACTCGAGTGTTTCCGGATCACGGCCGGTTTCCTTCCTGGAAGTGGCTCTGTGTGCTTTGACAGCGGTGAGTCTAGAGAGGGAGCGGCTTTCTCTTCCTCGTAGGCGCGTTTGCAAAAGAAGACGGCGAGCGGGTTTCCCTGTTTCGACCCCCCCCCCCGGCTCCCCTCGAAGACTTCCGTCTTCCTCCCAACTGGGACTTCGGTCCAGGACCTCTCTCGGCTGGAGAAATGGTGGCGGTCTTGTAGAGCTGCCTTCAGAATCTCCGGCGCGGCAGCATCTCTCCGGCGCATACAGACGATACCTGGGAGAAGCCGAAGCTGGTACATCTTGTGTGACTCTAACAAACAAACAGCTACTGGGTAAATGCTCCGGTCAGGTCTCACCCACTTTCTTCTCTCTCCTGCTCATAATTCTTGTTTTTCTGTGAAGCGGACTTCAAAGGGGCTTTTAAGTTATTTGGTAGATGGGTGATCTATGTGGCAAAAAGTCCCCCCCTCCCGCCTTCACTTCCTTTGAGGAACTCTGCTTCTTTTGGAAGTGTCTGCATCCATTTTGGAATACCTGCACTGTACAGTTGTTTAAGGTATTTTTATCCTTACGGTGCACTTGACATTTAAAATTCACTGCATGCAGCTGCCTTATGCTAAATCAGGCCATTGCTGTGTTGGTCACTATTGTGTCTTGTAATGGGCAGTGGCTCTCCAGAGTTTCACATCACCTGACTCTTTTAACCAGAAATAGGGCATTGTTCTGTTAAGGTTGGCACCGTCTGCTCTGACTGGCAGCTATTGTCCAGGCTGTCAGGTAGAGATCTCTTAAGTGAAGATGCTGAGCATTGAACTGGGGACTGCATGCAAAGTGGGGGTGCTCAGCCATTGAGCTGTGGTCCCTATATTAAAAAATGCAGGTATAAGTATGTGTGAGAGAGAGGAGGAGGGAGAAGGGGAGGATCTACCTAAGTCAGAAAGGAATCTTACATGTGCATTGTAAATTACTTGAGACTAATAACAGTGTGTCATAAGAAGTGAAGTAATTATGTTGGAGTAAATTGGTGGCTTTTGTGTATAGAACATGACTTCATTTTGACTCACTGCTGACTAAAGAATCTTCCCTCAAAGAGGTTGTTATGTCCAAATTGAATTACTTATTATGTGTGGTATGCTTGTTGAACTTGTGAAACTTCTGTGTAAGGCTCTGTGGGCGTTCTATATTTCAGAGCTGTTCTAGATACTTAGCATTGTTGGTTGTTTGCAGCATTATATATGTGTATATATAATTTTTTTGTCTTGCTTTTCAGACTTCCCACTAACCAATGTCCGGAAATGGTGATGGCACAATTACAAGTCCCTCTGAGGGATCTCTGCCCACAGCTGAAGTTCTGCCCGAGCAGCCAAAGTATGTGTGCACGCTGTCTGCCGAGCTTATTGCCAAGGCACGTGAAGAACTGCAGGAGAAGCCAGAGTGGCGACTTCGAGATGTTCAGGCTCTCAGAGACATGGTGTGCAAAGATTATCCTAACCTTGGGACACGTCTAGATGATGCTTTCTTGCTTCGGTTCCTTAGAGCCAGGAAATTTGATTATGATCGAGCGCTTCAGCTTCTTGTGAACTACCATTGCTGTAGGCGCAGCTGGCCTGAAGTCTTTACTAACCTGAGACCGTCTGCTATAAAGCTTGTGTTAGAATCTGGGTTTGTCACTGTGCTTCCTCACTTAGACTCTGAAGGACGTCATGTGGTCTGCATTCGCCCAGGTATTTTTTTGTGACACTGGTTAATTATTTAGGAGAGTGCCAGTCATTCCTGTGTCTCGAACATGTGTCTGCTTGTACCAAAGTCTGCCTCTGTCCTGTAGCTTGCTCTCTTGAAGCTGATGCATTTTGTTTCATTTCCCTCTGTATGGTACTAAAACTTCTGTGGTTCTAGTAAACCCCAATGATTTGGGATCACAGCATCAATGATCTGGGGAAATACTGATTTTTTATTTTTAAGGGGAGCCAGCTCCAGAACCATTTTTGTATCAATGTTATTGTTCTCCTTAAGCAGGTGGAGCACCTATTTTTATTATTCCGTTCCTTAATCTGTTTCTTACTGCCATGTTTTCTGAAAATGTTTTTTTCCTCTTCTCCCCCTTGCCCCTCATTTTATTAACTTTTTAATATAGTGTTTGCAGAAATGCATTGGGTACTGAAAATACTTCATAATACTTGTCCCACGTTGCCATATCATGCTATAAAAATTGTGCACGCACACACACACACACAAAGCCATAGCACTTGAGTGTATATATTATCTGGGTAAAACTGAAGTAATTGTAAATGTTGCAAATTATGTATTGAGCTAGGATTGTGATCTAGAGGACTGTGTGAGACAGGATGCTGGACTAGGTGGACCACTGGTGTGATCCAGCAGGGCTGTTTTTAAGTTCTTACATAGATACAGAGGTACCTTTTTTCAGGACTGGGATGTGAAATGGACCACAGCGGGGCAGGAAAGGGGCCATTTGGCATTTATACAGAAAGCGCATCTTTAAACAAAAAAGACTCATTACTTTTTTATATCCCATCATGGCTCTCAAAGCAGCATAAATCAGGGTTTGCAGGAGGTCTTGCATCCAAGCACTGATCAGACCAGATCCAAATCTGCTTAATTCAGCAGTGTTGCTATACCATGTGCCCTGTATCCATGTCCAGGCACTTTACAGTGTCCAAGTTTAGAACAGATTGAAATTGCCTCCCCTCCACCCCAAGTAGTTAATGTATGATTTTTGTTTGGCTCTGAAAAATTAGGCAAAGGCAGTTTGGTCTAGTGGTTAAGTGTGCGGACTCTAATCCGGGAGAACCGAGTTTGATTCCCCACTCCTCCACTTGCAGCTGCTGGATGACCTTGGGCATGCCATAGTTCTGACAAGAGCTGTCCTTGAAAGTGCTCTCTCAGCCCCATCTACCTCACAGGGTGTCTGTTGTGGGGAGGGGAAGGGAAAGGAGTTTGTAAGCCGCTCTAAGACTCCAAGTGAAGGGTGGGGTATAATTTCAATCTCTTCTCTTCTTCTTGCGCAAACATAAATTAGTGAGTAAGCTTACCTGGAATGAGGTCCAATAGAATCAGGCTTCTTTCCAATTTAAAGGTTAGAGGCAAAGCCCTCTCTGGTCCACACCCACGCATAGCCCTGACCCAAGGCTAATGCCATATGGTGTCAGTGCAGAGATTAAGGATGCATTCATTTTGACACCTCTCCTTTAGAGTATCATTGTCCATGTTGCCCCACATCCCAGGCTCCTCTTTCTTTCTCTACCCATGGCTTGCTTACAAAGGTGTATCTACATGACTTCAGTGGTCAAAACTATTGTAGAAGTTAATGATCCTATGCCGGGTGAGCAGTGCTTGAGGAAGCAATCTTTCCACTCTTTCACCATCCACCGTAGCCTGCTGTATCCCCAGTATCCTGAGCAGAGATGTTGGTGATACCCTGCCCCCCAAAACATTATGGAAAGAGGCTTAGGTGTGGGCCTGAAGTGAGAGGGGAGAATCAAGTCATTATATTTGACTTATCAGTAGTTCCTTTGTCCACATGAATTCAATTTTATACCTTTTAAAGAAGATTGAGTAGAATAATAAACCAGTACACTTGTATATGCCTTGACCTGGATAACGCAGGCTTGTTCAAGCTCATCATATCTCGGAAGCTAAACAGGATTGGCCCTGGCCAGTATTTGGATGGGAGACCTCTAAGGAATATCCTGGTTGTGACATGGAGGCAGGGAATGGCAAACCAGCTCTGAAGTCTCTTGCCTTGAAAACCCTATGGGGTTGCTATAAGTCAGCTGTGATGGTACTTTCCACCACCACACCTGTATATGGCTATAAACCTTGGTCTTCACACGAAATGACAACCTCCAGTATAAATTGATAGTGTTCCTTCCCTGAATTAACAGGCATTTTTCTTAAGCAAGAGCTATTGTTAAGGGCTGAGAATTATAAAGAGAACCTAATAACTGTAAGGCAAGTGAAGCATGTTGTTGATTTTCTCATTAGCTTTGCAATTTACCGTCCTTGTCTTATGTCTGTAGACAGATGGACACCGAGCAACTACCCAATTACTGAGAACATTCGTGCCATTTACTTAACTCTGGAAAAGCTCATTCAGTCTGAAGAGACTCAGGTGAATGGAATTGTGATCCTTGCAGACTACAAAGGAGTCAGTTTATCTAAGGCCTCCCATTTTGGTCCCTTCATAGCCAAAAAAGTGATTGGAATTCTTCAGGTAAGGCCTAAAATGCCGTGCATGGAGGGAGTGCAGTGGAAACTATGTCTGTCAATTAAAGTGCTACAGATCAAGTGATGTAAAACCAGTCCTTTTCAGTAGAAAACAAGTAGAGCATTGTTCTGTGAGAGAGTCTTCATAAATTGGTGAATGGCTGATTATTTCAAATAGGCTTGAAGGAGCTGTCCAGTATTTAGACTAAGGGCATCCAAGACAAGAATGGTATGGATGGGGCGTGCTTGATGTGCTGCATTTTGAACTTACTGTATGAGAGCAGTGGGCTGGGCTGGGCTGGGCTGAAACAAGCCACTAATGAAGGTCTTTCCCCAAACATATTCTTAGAATTTGATCAAAGCCTATACTTATCACATTGGAATAAAAGGCACAGAATAAAAGTGGGAAACGGCCAAGCTTCAAAAGTGACTCAGTGTGCAATTAGCTCTCTAATAGTCATTGTCTTTGACGTTAAGCTGGTCATTAAGTACAGGTAGCCAGTTTGGTGTAGTGGTTAGGAGTGCAGACTCTAATCTGGGAGAACTGGGTTTGATTACCTACTCCTGCACATGCAGCTGCTGGGTGACCTTGGGCAAGCCACTATTCTCTCAAAGGTCTCCCAGCCCCACCTACCTCATAGGGTATCTGTTGTGGGGAGAGAAAGGGAAGGAGATTGTAAGACACTTTTGAGACTCCAAGTGAAAGGCAGGGTATAAATCCAATCTCATCTTCTTCTTCTGTTAACCCAAAGTAACATTTTTACCTACACAAAAATGAGTTATTTGTGTGCTATGAGACATATCTAGAGAAAGATATGGATGAGATTGCATCAGGGGGCATACAGTATGGCATCAGTTGGCAAATAAATCTGTGGGAGGATCTCTCCTCTTGTTCTCTTTTTAAAAACAAGTTTCTAGTCCTTACTGTTAAACATACAACTGATACGGTCAAAGTAGGAATCCCACACTCAGAGCATGGAATATTATTTGTAGTATTTATTATGTTTGGACTTCTGTGGTTTTCTTTTTGTCTGTTTGAATATAAAGATTATTCCATTATCTTTTTTTAAAAAGTTGTTGTTACAGTTTGCATGGGCAAAGATAATGGTAGATATTAGGATTTTCTTCTGGGAAATACCTAGCAGTTTTGGTAATGAGCTTCCAGCACGACATGTTTAACTAAAGAAAATAAACAGAAACGAGTCTCTTAACCTGAAGCTAGAGTATTATGCTGTGGTTGGCTTCACTAATGCTGGTGCAGACATCGCTTTTGTGATGGGTTTGAACCTGGTTTATTGTGGGGCGTTATGTGCTTCCTCACCCATCCCCTCATGCAGCATGTGTGTGCTTTAAATGTAGCCCTTTGCTTTCTCTTCATTAAAGGAGAGCTGCCACCTTGGGACAGGATAGGCTTTATGTTAGTATCTGTTGGTATTTGTGAATATAGCTGTTGGCAACAAAGAACTTTTTTTGTTTCATTTCTGCTCAACTGTGAGTTTGTGTATCAGTAGAAAATTAGGGTTCTTATGATGTAATGGCTTTGTCATATCAGTTTTCCCAATATTCTTATCCATAAACTGACCATTCTTCATAAGTCTTACATGCATTTTTCCCCTTTTAGGATGGCTTTCCTATTAGAATAAAAGCTGTCAACATAATAAACGAACCTCGCATATTCAAGGGCATTTTTGCGATCATCAAACCTTTTCTGAAAGAGAAAATAGCAAATCGGGTAAGTGGCAGTGTCTTTTGGATAAGCAACAAGCTTGGAGACTGTATGTGTATTTAACCCAAACTGAGGATGGTGTGCCTGATTTGACTTATTCTTGGACTTGTTTCCATTCTAAACATCCTCAGCAAAGAGGTGATTTTTATCATACTGTCTCTGATACCTCTTTTCCCCGGACATAGGCTCTATGGGCTTTTTTAAAAAGCTGATTGCAGGACAGGATAGTTGGACTGCAGCTCTAGCCCCATGGGCCAGTTTTAGCTGCCACACGCCCCTGAAGCTGAACTCTAGCCATGTCCTCCAAAGGCAGTAATTCTTATTGGTCCCAAATTCTTTTTGAGACTTTCTTTCCCTGACCCTTCAGAACCTTGTCTGCCAAAGAGCCTAAAAAACCAAAGCAGGCCTGAAAGGTTGGGTGAAGATACGACTGCTAAACAAGCACTGTGGCATGCTGGGAGTAGGGAGGTGGTAAGCCCTTTGCCTTTCCCCCACCTGTCCTTCCCTGGCTCCCTCTACTCCTCTTATTGTGCTGGTATATCTTACATTTAAATTTTCCCCAGGGGGGAGGCAGCGCTCATCTGTGGGGGGCATTGCCCCCAAGTGCTCCCCATGGCTACAGGCCCGCACTGTTCTGTGACAATTCTTAGGCTTGTACGAGAGATTGGGAGACTTATTTTGCAAATGAGAGCATGACACCCCCTTTGAATTCAGCAGCACTTTGCATCATGCAGCCTTCCACCAAAACATGTAGAAACAGTCCTTCCATGAGTCGATGACACTTTTGCCTGCAGAAGGGCACCTTTTGAGATCCAGCCCATTTGCAACCCATTTGCAGTGCCATGTTCTTGAAGCCCATTTAAACGGAATGGCTCAAACTGGGCAAAGGTTTCAAGTTACCTTGGAGGCATGTGAGACTCACAAGCCTTGGAATACCTTTCTTGTTAGTGAATGTCTCAGGGATGTCAGCCCGGCTGCTGACGTCACCACCACCATTTTGGTTTCATGGGCAGGCTTTGGGAACTGCAGTCTGTCCTCTTTAAAACTGAGACCTGCCCCCAGTGTAGTTACAGGAGCTGTCAATGTAATTTTTGAATTCGTGTGCTACTGAAGTGTCTGGGTTTCCTTCCTCAGTTTTTCCTCCATGGGTCAGACATGAGCTCTCTCCATCAGAACCTGCCGCCCAGCATCCTCCCTGAAGAATATGGGGGCACAGCGGGGAACCTGGATATCTCCACCTGGAACGACCTGCTGCTGGCCTCAGAGGGTGACTTCCTGTATGATGTCTCTCAGCTGGCTCCCTCCAATGACCCTTCACCCGATGCCCCATTAATGAGCGCAGAGGTTGACGAGAAGCAATGTGACGACTCCTTGCGAAGCTTGAAAACACAGCTCTATTACTGCTACTGAATGGGCAGGGAACTGTTCCCGACGGTCCCCTTCCTAGTCACAAAAGAGATGAACTCTACCTTGTTCCTAAAACCAGAGCCTTGTTGAGACACTTTACGTTGGAACCAAAGCAAATTAAAAAGGGGGAGGGAATGGAGCAAGGTAGAGTTCTGTGGAACTCTGGTAGGATGGGGTACCGTTTGAACCTCCTTGAAATCTGTGGTTTAGTGACCCTTTTTGTTAAAGAATTTCATATATCAATGCAAATTGAAGAATCCTGTTAACACCATGGTCCTAAATGCAGCTTACTTGAAGGGAAGTTGCATCAAAATGGATTGGGGGTGGGGCTTCCAGCTATGTAAAAGTAGCATCACCGTGCTGGATTTTCCACTGTGGACATGTTAATGTATGAACAAAAGTCCATGGAATTGCAGCCAGCAGCCTCTGCCAGTTGATGTTGGGTGAAGTAAGGATGAATGGCAGCTGAACGTCCGAGGAGACCCCTTTTGTCTGCCCTGTTCATACTCTCATCCTGCTTGTCACCATCCCATCTATTCAGTGGCTCCCCTGTGTAAATGGAATAGCTTTTTGTCACTTGGGGCAAAAACTTGAATGGCACCTTGCAGAAGTGGGTTAAGTAAATGCCAATAGTTATAATAAAGCAGATGCACTGGCATTTGCTAACCCTGCTAACTTTTGGGCATTTTCTTGCAAGTTTATTTTATGCCCATATTTGAATTTGTGCAACAACCAGGACCAACTGGGAGGGAGAAAAGTTTTTGCACAGTTGTTCAGTTGCCAGTAAATGCCCTGTCGTTGATACAGAAAGCTTAATAGCTTGTAGGTATAAAGGTGTGGGGGGGGAGATGCTTGTTCAGTTATTTTTGGGATATAGGATTTTTGAACTAGTCTTTGTAAAAACCAAATGTAGACAGGGTATTCTATAAGCACAACTACCAGGTTTGTAAATGTAACTTTTTTCTCGTGCGATCTGTGGTGTTTGTCACTTAGACTTCAGTGCTGTAGTCGCCCTGACTTCCTTGAGGAAGGCGACTTCTACTCTTGCCCCCATGGCTAGGTCCTGTTGTTGTACAGAAGTGTTTTGGAGCCTTTTGGGTGGCTGAAGTGCGGACCCTCACATGAAGCTAGTTTCTGACTCACAGAATTGAGTTGTAGATCTGCGATTCACATAATATGGAAAAGTACAGATTGAAATCTTAATAGGAACTGGATTCCTGAATGCACTGCTGCTATTCTATATAGTCTCAGGGCAGCAGGTCAAGATTATGTAAACCACCTCATATTTACAGCACTTTTAAAATGCTTGGGGAGGGAAAGGGATTGGGGGGGAGAGCATTTACTTAGTGCCAACTACAGACCAGAAACTGGTGCTTATTGTAAATATGAAATAAGGCCTCCGGAAGTGGGGCCATTCTATTGTACGTGTGCCAAATTGTATTTGCCTTTTTTGTTTTTAAGTCCCATACTACCAAGAGGGAGGCAGTTTGCCTCTGATGCACTGCTCGAACAAGTCTCGTCTCCTCCCCATCCCCCCACAAAACCCTTGACTTCCATGTACAGTATTGTTTTAACTGTCAGAGCCAGACACACAACTCTTCTCTAATGTTTACTGGAACTCTCTTGAGGTTGCAGGATAGCTCCCAGCTGCTCCCCCCTCTTTTCAAATAGGGGTTCCAAACACAGCTGTTACCCTGTGGCAAGAAGGCACGGACACCATCAGAAATGGTGCTTGCTATATAGACAGACCCACAGGAAAAGCTGTGTTTAACTAGCATGAGAGGGGGCTGGACGTCTTTTCCATGGAAGTAATATCCGTGTATGATTACCTGAAGTAGCACCAACTGTGATACTTGAGTCCCCAGTAAGTGAGCCTAACAAGTACTGAGAACTTGGTGGGAGGAGAGTAACTTTTGTGTTACCACTAATCTAGCACAGTAGAAATAAGTATGGCCTCTCTAGTATGCCTTTATAGTAGTTAAAGGGCTGCCCTACAACGGTCTCCCTAGACCAGAAGCTAATGTCTGAAAACAGAAGTTGGTGGGGACTTCTTGCCTATTCACTCGAAGCTGTGTGAGGCCTGCTTTAAACATGAAGCTGGCAAGCTAGAACTTTCCCTTATGGCTACATTCATGCCCCCAGTGTCTCATTTTAAGGGGAGCATCTGATGTGCAATGTGGGCACAGCAGTAGGTCTGTGGCCTCATAACATTACACAGGCAACAGCCTAGTTTAAATGAGATGCTAGGTATGTGCAGGCCAGTTGTTCCAGCTCTCTGATTCACATTTAAATCAGGCCCCAGCTACCATAAAGGCATACCATGCTTCAGTGGCACTCCTTTGTGCAGAGGAGAAATGGCAAGCCCCACGTTTCCTTTAACAGTCTTCCTCAAGGACAGGGTTTTAACATCCGTTTTTTATACTGCAAACTATCCATCTGAGGAAGGATTGCAGGAGTTCTTGAAGTTTTTCTAGCCTCCGCATCATAAGGATTGATTATTTTTGTGACTGAGAACAATCTTTATAGATCTATGCGAGGCTAGACTTTTCCCTTTACAGGTGCTGCACCTCTCCCTCCCACAGGTACTTGAAATAAATAGGCTTGTAGAGCTTGTATTTACCTGTATCTGGTTATTTTTATAGGTGTTGCCTTATTACTGGAGCCTACTCTGAACTACCTTCCATCCATGGCTCTTCAGACATCACAGTTGCATTTCCTACGACTCCCGTCAGTTCAGTTGTAGCTGCCCCAGAGGAACAGTCAGCAACCTACAGCATTTAAGAGCGACCTTGTTATTACTGAGGTGTTACTATAGCGATAACAGAATTAAAGCTTAAGACACTGGGGGTTTTTTTAGATGGAGAAGAAAGCAATACCTGCTATCCCCCTGTAGAACTTTGGGTTACAAGGTACTTTAGCAGTATTAAATTTTCCAAATCCAGGCAGGCCAGTTGTATTAAAGAGTCATACTACAGTTACCATATTGCCTTTAAGACTGCCAGCAAAGGAAGTAAGGTAACTTGTTTCTGCAAGTTAAAGGACTTGAATTTATACTGTGGCTACAACAGGCACCTTATAAAACGTTTTTCCATAGGGTGGTCGAGTTGCTTTGTTCGTACTATTATGTCAGTCAACAACTTTTAGCATTTTACTCAGTAATGGGTTTCAGATTTGTTTTGCCTTTTGCTGTATGTAGAATTTGGGTGTTTGATTATAGTACACACCTTTTGAGAATTTATTTTTATATTGCATTTTATAAAATGACTGGTAAAAGTGCAACACTATGCATGACTGGGCAGTAAAACAATCCTACTTTAAAACAGCCTCTTGTTATTTAAAAATAATATTCGCATCACTTAAATTCTCATTCCAGAGCTGGTAGTGCGCAACTGAAGGCACTGCTGAAAACTTTAAATGTAAAAAATATTGTCAGTGTGGCTAGTCAACCTACATGCTTTGTGCTTTTAGAATGTGATGTCATCTGGCCTTATCCTGAGTGGCAGCTGATGACGACACAGAGACCTAGGGCTTTTCCACGTTCTCATTTTTTTGTCACCTGTGTGTCCCTATTTTTTCAGGTTTTCTTTTCCACACACATGTTTTGCTTCCTAGAGTGGTGACTTGCATGCCACAGGACTGGCTGCAGAACAGGCCTGATCCTCTAGTTAATCAATACGGCATTCCGAAGCATGAACAGGCAAGTGTATATTAGTACATCATGAGCACAGGCTCTTCATCCCTTCCCTCCATGCAGAAGTTTTCTATAGAACTTCCAGCCTGAGTCAGTCCTCTTTGACCTGTTCAAACACCCACTGGAAGACAGCTAGAAAAAAAAGGACACTGAACAGCTAATTTTAATCAAACAGTTTTATAGTGCAAATATTGTGCCAAAATTGACAACAATACACTGGCATTTTATAATAATTGTTCTTATTACAAAACAGCACTGGAGCAAATCTTCATTTTAATGTGACTCGGTTAAAGCTTATTTTAGGATAGCATGCAAGTTTAAATTTACTGGAAAACACTTGATTTCTATACCTTTGTTCCTTACACTGATAAACTAAATAGTTGCTATTTTTAACAAGTTAACCGACTACACTATGTTAGCATGCTATTCTGTTAACGACAGGTTTTCCTGAAGTGGAATGTACAGAGTTTGCAGCATGGCTTTCACTTCCATACACTGAAGCATGAGGAATATTTTAAAATATATTACTTTCTGTTCCATTAAAAACCTTCCAACATTGTGTGTAGGGTTACACAACAGGCATTTTTCCAAAACTTTCACAGCACAGCTGTAGTAGATTAATAGTAAAGCTAGCTAGCTTGGAATTTAAACACAGCAAAATAGACATAGATCTTGCATCAAGCATTAGGCAAAGCAGCAGCTTTCTACCCACTGTATGTTGCTGGAGAGAGAGCTTTAGCTGTAACTCCAAGAAGCAATACAGAACATTTGGCTTTCAGCAGAGAGGAGCTTCGTTTCCATCCTGTCTTTCAATTGAAGTCCCGATTGGTAAGGACAAGAGGAGCTAGTAAGGTCCAGGAATAAAGGGCAAGACAGACCCAGCTTGAGGAGATCTTCACCCAGACGGCTGGCCACTTGCTTGTCATAGTTTTGAAGTCGGCATCAGGGCTGTGAAAATGAATACAACAGGTTAAATTAAGCCATGCTGAAAGCTTCAATAAGGTTAGAAAGAAACAGAATTCCTAGCTCTGGTTCTCTGTACTACAGAGTTGACCAGAAAAGCAGTGATAGGCCACGTTACTGGCCTGAATTGCATGAGCAAGGAGGGGGAGTTCTTCCTGGGTGGGGTCACCTCCCTTCCAGGAGCAACATTTCGGGGAAGAATCCCATTCCACGGTTGGAAATCCTCCATGGGAGCCAAACTACTGTTTACAGACTATTTCCCTAATACAACCTCACTATGCAAGCCAAAACAATATCCTTAAAAAGTCTTTTCCTTGCACTGCTATTTAAGAGGCTCAGGAGCTGTTTATTAAGAACCACCAAAATGCATTCTTTTACCTGGTCTCAGAAGGGGTCGGGGGAACTTCCATAGCCCCCAACATTCTTAACGAGTTCAGGCACAGCTCAGCCATACGGGTCAGCTATGAATAAGGCCCAGAATAACAAAAATCCCCTCCCTCCCATGCCAAGAAAGAAAGAAAAACCTGATAACAGATACTAAACTTGATCTTAGCCAAAAGGCCTGCGGAATAGCAGGAATAATTTGACTCAACAGACTTTCAGAGACTTAAAAGAACTTTTCACTCTGTAAACAATGACGCAGTGGGCTGACAAAATGGAGGATAGGAAAAGACCTTCTCCAAGAAATGCCACCTCAGCAATGACGACTGTTAGACCGGACGTAACCACTGACTTCCCCAATATGTTAGCTACAGCATTGCACCCTCTGCTGGACCAGATGACTAATCTCAACAACAACTTTGATGCTCTCCAAAAGCAACTGAAAGAAACTACTACAAAAACAGAGGAAATAGTTAAAGAGCTGAAAAAAATTGATGCTAAGACAAAAGCGATAAATCAGAGACTAGAGGTGGTGGGAAAAAAGCTGACCTCTGATAAACAACAGCTGCTACAGTTACAAATGGAGAAATCATCGTATGTCCTGAGATTTCAGGGTATCCCAGAGCAAAAAGGCGAGAACTTGAAAGAAATTTTAAGCAAAGTTTGGCTCCATTGGCAGATCTTAAAACGGAACTCCTACAAAGTGACATGGATATGGTCTATCGAACATATCCAGACCATATCAAGAAAAATAAACTGCCTGGTGAAGTATTTGTCAAGTTCTCCAAAAGGTCAACAAAGAGATTCAATCTTGAAAGCGACTAATGGGATAACTCTAAAAATCGAAGACGAAGTAACGAGAGGTTTAAAAGACATTCCATTTGAGGTAAGAAAGAAGAGGAGAAAATATAAAGACCTAACATCTTTTCTACAGAAAAATTCCACCCCCTACAGATGGATAACCCCAGAAGGACTTATCTTCAACTACGAAGAAAAGAAGCAAAAGATTGACTCTGTTACAAAAGCCTTTATGGAACAGCACCAAACAACAGCGAAGAATGGGAAAGCAGAGGACAACAGCATAACAGAAGAAAACATCGAACATAGATCGGGAAGCAGTGACAGTTCTTCAGGCAGCTTTTCAGAAGAGTCAGATTCTGATAAGGGAGCGGTAGTTCCCAAATTATTGCAAATCAGATTCAACTATGATAAAAAACTCCGATAAAAAGAAATCTGAGGGGGGGTGGGAAATACGACAAATAGCATAATACTGAAAGTTTGATTTTATTAACATTCAAAGAGCTAAGATGTACGCACTCAGGCTAAATATACTTGTACTAGTTTGTCTTTGTAATAATAGCCTTAATCCTTATTTTTAAAAGCTTAAATGTAGGGGAAACTCCAAGCCTTAGATATAATTTCTGTATAATTCGTACTGTATGATCCTTGCATAACTCTGTATTTTAGTTTAGTCCTCCCCCTATCTCCCCTCCCTTTATAGTTTGTGGGTTGCAGTATAAAAGCAATAAAAAGTATATTAAAAAAGCTACAAATAAGGCCCAGAGTAACAAAAATCTCCTCCCTCCCATGCCAAGAAAGAAAGAAAAAATACATGCCTGTGAACAGGCAGGGAACTAACCGGTTTAAAGGGAATGCGTAAAAAATATTCAAGTTAGATATATTAAAATGGTTTGGAGGAAAGACAGCTGTGAGAGACATGGGAGCTCACTGCAAACACACAAGTGACAGACCAAGCTGGCAGAAGAAATTGCAGGGCTGCAGCGCAGCACCTTAAGGGGAGTTACTGTGCTGAGGGCTGTCAGAACTGCTTTGCCACGGATTAGCTCTACTGTTGTCACTTCCAATAGTCCCCCGCATTTCAAACTCTTGAACAGAAAAAACTTTGTACTCCAGCATTTCCTGCTTTATGGGAGAAGGATGGCAATTCTGATTTGCAGGTTGAGGCAACACAGGGAAACCGGAACTGCTAGCTACAGGGTCCTGACTCGAGTCATCGGCTCAGCTATAAACTCAGTGGCCAAGCCTTCCTTTCTCTCCAGCTTAGCCACCCTTCTCCAGCTCCCCAGCAAGGTTTTTTACTGCTGGACTGTAGCAAACATCACGCAGAACGTGTGAAATGGTTTGACACAACTGGAGGCATGGAAGGAAGACCTTATCTCAAGTGCAACTTTACAGACACTTTCCTCAAGCTTATGAAACCACTGTACAAAAGAACAGTGAAAATACAAGGACCGCCAATTAAAATCCCCACTGATACACCTACCTATACCAATTGGTAAGAGTCATCATGATATACAAGGAGGCAAGAAACAGCATGAAGTGGAAGAAGGCATAGCTGTACTGGACACCATCCTTCTCATTGTCGGTGACACGCCGAATTTCTCCGTCTTCCACATCACCATCGGTGCCTGCAGCGTCATCCAGGATGACACTGTCACTTGCAGAGAGGGTCAGCTTGTTCACCTGGCTGTTGCTAGAAGATCGAATACTGCCAAACCATCCAAGAAAGAAAGAAAGATTCAACATTTGAGTCTGTGAATCACAAAGTGGCAGCTAATCACAGACCCACAGATCCAGGTGGGTAGCCGTGTTGGCCTGAAGCAGTAGAACAAAGTTTGAGTCCACAGGGACCTTTAAGAATAATGAAGTTTTATTCAAGGTATGAGCTTTCAAGCTCATACCTTGAATAAAACTTTGTTGATCTTAAAGGTGCCCCTGGACTCTCTGTTCTAATCACACCCCAGTTTGTTTGGCCTTCTTGGAAGCATTCAAGAACTCCTTGAGGTCTAACCCCCCCCCCAATATATCCCCCCCCCCTATATATATACCAGAGAATGGTTTAAAGGTACATGATGCAACTCCATTGCTGTCAACTAATGGAGATTGTAGAATATCAATAATGGATTATCCCACCATCCAGAAAACAGCTGTGTCTGTAAAACTAGCATTTAATAGTCAACTGCACTGGGGGGGGGGGGGGAATTAAAAATACATGCAAGTCACTATTTTTTGTACAGTTTGCGAGATATTTCACCAACATTCCTTGAATCTTGAATTGCAAAAAAGCAGCCCTCTGTTCTCTTAAATTAAGAGAAACTGAAGAAGGGAGATGGCATCTCTCTGTTCAATACAAGATGCCATTTTTGAAGCTAGAAAAACTTCCGTGTGCTTGCCAGACTCCCACAAACACACATTGATGCTACAAATAGGCTTTGTTTACTTGCAGTTTTAGCAAGCTTACTTCTCAGATCTCACCTGGAGTACAAGAGACACAGCACAAAGATAATAAGTCCCACGATGCTTTGTGCATCCCACCACTGCAAGGATTTTTGTGGTGCAGGAGTTGGAGAAGGAAGAACAGCAGTGGCATTTGCTGGGCCTGTGGTAGGGGTGGCTATTTGGCTGATGATGTTCAAAAGACTTGGGTTACAGCTGCGATCTGAAAGATAATCCCAGAAATGAAGTACAAAACCAAAAATGTCTCTCAGAATTCTTAAAATCAGGCTTTGGGAACAGCCACTGTCAGAAATGTATGTTGCCTATAACTGGTGCCACCCTGAAGATGTGTGTGTTTCTACTGGAAACCATCTACGAAGAGGTACGTCTGACGTTAGTTGAAATTTCACCCAACGAATGTACATATTCTTAGGAAACCCACCATATATGAAGTAGATGGAGAGTGCAACTAGAGTTGCCAACCTCCAGGTGGTGGCTGGAGATCTCCCGGGATTACAACTGACCTCCAAGCGACAGAGATCAGTTCACCTGAAGAAAATGGCTGCTGGGGAAAGTGGACTCCATGGCATTACGCCCCAATTGAGGGCCCTCCCCCCAACCCCCCTCCTCAGGCTCCACCCCTAAAATCTCCAGGTATTTCCCCACCCAGAGCTGGCAACACTAAGTGTAACTGATCTATATTTCCCCTTGTACTACTCTTCCTTGCCCCATATCATTCCGTGTTGGTGTTAAAGCTCACACTGCTCCAATTCCCCAAATCCTCCCAAATTTGTACAGAGGTTTCAACCATTTCTTCCTTCTTTAGCAGCTCCTTCCACGGCCACCGTCATTCTGAAGCAGCCACAATAAGCGGCGCATCTCAGCACTTACCAGGCTCATTAGTCATGGCAGACCAAGTGAGGTACATGGTGTAGAGTGTAATGATGGAGGACTGGAGGAGGCCCGAACGAGCCTGGTGTTCCTGTTGAAACACACAAGGTTGCTCATCAGACAGAAGCACTCCCTAGTGAGTTATCAGTGGTACCTGAACTATGGCATGCACATCGACACACCCAAACAAAGCTGTCTTATACTGAATCACACCTTTGGTCCAACAGACTTGCTAGTCAATTTATTCTAAAGTCCTGACTCTTCAGAGTTTTGCTACAAGCCTCTTAAAAGGTTGGACATTAAATGCAGCATCAAACATGTGGCACAAGGAAGACTCGAAACAGCCGTCATCCAGGCCTCCTAGCCTACAGATACTAACTTCATACTAATATTATAAACAATGTTGTTCAGCCTCGAAAAGACTGGTGAAAAGACTGACCACGGGAGCAGGAATCAGCAGATTTGACATTCACCACCCTCCCACCTATTCGGAAGTGCTATATAGCCAGCTACACCCCACCCCTTGACAAGGCAATGGCTGCATCTCAAGGCAGCCATCCGTACCAGATTTGTTAAAAAAAGGATGTACTAGACTTCAGCTATTTGTAGCAGTAACAGACTGCATGATCAGCAGGGGAGGAAGCAGGGAAGACTGTGACAGCTGGCTAAAAGTAGCTAAGCAGGATCTCTGCTAGTTTATTTTCCCTCTGTCTACCAGTACTTAGAGGTTCGGGCATGACCGGGCACTCCTCTCTCACTCCATGTAGACTGTAGCCTGGGGCCTGTGTTAAGAGACCCCAGTAGATGAGGACGTGTTCAAATAAATAATACAACTTAAACTGTATTTCGGTACGTTTCTGCAAACCCCTTGGGGATCACTCCATGTAGACTGTAGCCTGGGGCCTTGTGTGAAGAGACCCCAGTAGATGAGGATGTGTTCAAATAAATAATACAACTTACTGTATTTTGGTACGTTTCTGCAAACCCCTTGGAGAGGAAAAGCAGCATACACATGAAGCTACATTATATACAGTCAGACCTTTGGTCTATCAAGGTCACTACTGTCTGCTGTGACGCAGTGGCTCTCCAGGGGTATTCCTACCACGAGCTACCCGATCTTTTTAAACACAAGATGCTGGGAATAGAACCTGGGACCTTCTGTGTGCAAAGCAGATGCTCTGCCACTGAGCCACAGACCCTCCCAGTACAACACAACTGCTTTAAACAAAACACAAACAAGCAGCTCTATTAAGATTACATGATTGCTCCACCAACAAAACTGTAGATTTCAAAACTGCACAAGTGGCTCTGGCTCCTTTGAGGTCTTCGACCTCTTTGGAAGGAGTGTTAATTACGAAGAAGCTTTTTAAACAAGACTGGAACCTGTTACTTCAAGGTGCCAGCCAGAAATGCTCTCCGCTCAATCTAGGAATCAAATATTTAGCTGAATTTGAATGTCCATCCTATCTTTGCATGCTGATGATACCTAAATTAAGATGATCATATATGCCTGCATGCTGTAATGCACTACCTGCCGCACAGATGAAGGGGTGCTTTACTGGGATTCCTTCAGGACAACATTTTTGTGATTGCTCCTTGTCAATGATTGATGTGTTACTGCATGTTTTTCTTCACTGTTCTACACATATTGTTGCCAGAGAAAAATGTCTTGTGAACTGTTAAAATATTCAGCCACTTCTGATACCCACAATTTATGACTCTCTCTGAGTCACTTTTGTAAAGCCTGTATAGTTGATGTGGCTGAATTTTTTGTTGTTGTTTTATATTCTTAAAACGTTTTACTTGGTGTGTGTCTTTTGGCTGCTAAACCCAAATCAGGATGCAGATTGCTCCACCATATTTATTCCAACATATTTTCACAACACATTCTCCTAAAAGCACCACTATCTAAAATAGTTAAAAATGCAGCACCATACAAATTTTAAAAAGCGCACTTGAAGAGGACCCCTATGCCAAATGCAACCTACCTGGACCTTGGGAAGGATTGAGATGATGGAGACCGCAATGCACAGGATCATATTAAAGCTGATGAAAAACTTGTTTTCAGGGCAGGCATCAGACCTTGTGTAGAAGACATAGAAGAGGACGACAGCAACGAGAGACAGAATGTAGTTTAAGGTTGTACACGACAGCAGAGCTGGAGAGAAAGATACCCAAATTACAAAATGAAAATATGAACTGACAGAAAGCAGACAGGTTAAATGTCAGTATATCTCCCAGAGGGTCTGGCTAATTTCATGTTAGCCCCTCTCCTTTATGCAAAACTGAGCATTGCTGTCTCACTTTATATGGTAATAAACAAGCCCCAGGTGAAATCATAAAGAAGATCTCCGAAGCATGTCCTCAAATGGCTGACTCCAGAACTCTGGAACATCAACAGTGCCATCTCAAGCAGAGTTACACCCTGCTAAGCCCATTCACTCCAACAGACTTAGATGTGTATAACTCTTATTAGGATAGCACTGCAAGTCTTCAAAGTACTTTTCAGTCATAAAAAGCATCTTAAGCACTGTCCTCATAACCAAAGCAGATGCCTAAAGTCAAACAAACTCTACGATATACTCAAGCACAGGGAAATAGTTGGAAAAGCGTTAGTGGTCAGACCTTCTCCTCTCACTGAGGGGCAATTTATAGAGGCAGAAACACCCCTCTATACATCACCCCAATATCTTAGTGGAGGGCACTGCTTGGGCCAAAACGGGCCAAGATGGATGCCAGGCATTAGCCTGGGGAAACAATTTTAAAACGCCAGAGTGGCTGGTTACTACCACCTCCTTGCCCTGGAAAGATACATGACTTTAGAACAATGGGTCGCCCAGGACCTACTGATTCACCCAGCATAATCCCATCATCGCCCCAGTCTTACTTCCCCATACCCATTACCCCTTGATTAAGCGGCAATTAACGCTTAAATCTATTCACCTTACCCATTGCCTTTCCCGTGGCGCCATCAAGGCTTTCCTACCTTTCATACAATGCCATTTTGTCACTGCTTCCTGGCAAATGCATCATTCCTGTCTTAGGGTACGTTTTGTCCTATAACTGGACCACCCTGCTCACCCAGCAGTGTGTGTGCGTGCCTTGGATCCCTACCCGTGGAGCCATCAAGGCTTTCCTACCTTTCATACAATGCCATTTTGTCACTGTTTCCTGGCAAATGCATCATTCCTGCCTTAGGGTACGTTTTGCCCTATAACTGGACCACCCTGCTCACCTAGCAGTGTGTGCGTGCCTTGGATCCCTCCTCACACCCCCACTTTTCTGTGGACTCTTCTCTCTAGCTTCCCAAAACGTTGGTGGTTCTGCTGTTTCCGTGGACCAAGATCAGTAATTATTGTCCTTCCCTAAAATCCCTTTCCACCCCGTGTTTTTAACAAAAACCTTTCCAGTTGACCATCTGCCTGGTTTATTTGAGAGTCCTCTAAAGGGAAAAATCCTGGTATACATAGGTTAGAGAATCCCAGTTACCTGCCTCTCGCTCTGTCTCCTTTTGCTAATTCCCCCAACTTAACTGGAGACTGCCTATTTAGGTAACAAAAGCAGGATTCAAATGAGAGCAGCCTTCCTAACTGCAGCACTTCAGCAGCAGGATTTAACCTATTCTGTTTAGTCCCAGTGTTCTGAATAAAGTGACTCTGTACATTGTGTTATTTGGGTTTTATAAAGCTGGCCAATAAAAACAGTTTCATATGAAGCAGCAGATTAATCAGGTTCTAGCCAACTTCTGGCTACACCCCACTTACCAGCATACCAGCACCTGGCATTTCCCTCCTCCATTTTTTCAACCCAGGATTCATTCCAGGAATGTGCAAAATCTACCAGCAGTATTAGCTGGATGAGAATGAAGCAGAAGGCACCCACAGTGCCAATACCAAACCATGCTGAAAAGGATAAAGGGTTCTTTGTCAATTACTTGGCACTTGACAGCCCTGAAAGCCACCCCTCCCTTCCCTTGGCATACAGATGTCCAATACACACCCCTGTTTTTCTCCTCCCTCCATTAAAAAACCCTTAAACGCCTCTTCAAACTCCTAAACTTAAACAAAAAATGGAGTTATGGAACAAGAGCAGCCAGGGGTTTTTTTTAATCTACTTTTGCCATTCAGGGGGGGAGAAAGTTAGAATTAGGGCTTATGTGAAGACATCTTCTGAACAACAAACTCTGGGAAAAAGTCAGATGCACATACGGACCAAGTGTGAACTTTAAATTAGTTTACGTGCTAAGAAGAGTGGGAAAATCCTTCTTCAGATTCTCAGATGTGAAACTTTATCCAACAATTCAGAACTGGACTTAGAAAAGTCCAGGCAGAAAAAAAATAGTGCTGCTGATTCTAAATCAGACTCCGTCATGCACCTGATCATCTGGAGTGTGACATGGTCTGAACCCTTCCCTTCAACTGCTGCCCTGCAACCACGCTTCCATTTACTTGGCCTGGCAGCAGCAGAAGAAAGAATCACTTGGAGACATCCCCAATACTCAGTGGAATCCTTGTTCAGAGTCCCAGGGGAAATGCTGTTTTCCCAGGACTGAGTCCTTTGGACATCAGGTGCTCTGACAAAACACATGTCTCAGGGGCACTGGGGATACCACCATTATAGCATTCTGCTAGGTACTCCGTAGGATGGCCTCCACTGACATACCCCTTGGCTACAGGCTAAAAAGTTCAGTGGGAAGGTAAGAGCCAGGCAGTGCGTTCCCCTTTGGCACACATTATAATCCACAAGGAAGAACTCTGGAGGCCGTAACACTCACCCAGGATTGAAGGAGGCCATTACAAGCTGACGAACCTCACGTGCCAAACTAGGAAGTTATGAACTTCTGCTAGTATAATCATGTACTTTTATTCCTGCAAGGGGCCCACATTGTTGCCAGAGTGTTGGACTAGGATCCAGTAGACCCAAATCTCGCTTCGTTTCACTGTATATCTCATTTTGTTTGGTATCATAAAAGATTTGTATTCAAGCGTATAGTGCTTTTCAAAGATCTTGAGCTGGACTAACGTCCCGAAGAAGGCTACATGACAGAAAAGGAAGGCAGGACTTTCATTTATTCATTTTCACTTAATTCAATTATGACCTTGCCTTCCTCCCCAATGGGGACCCAAAGCAGCTTCCAGAGTTCTCCTCTCCTCCATTTCATCCTCACAAACAACCCTGTGAGGGAGGTTAGGTGGAGAGAGTGTGACTGGCCCAAGGTCACCCAGTGAGCTTCCATGGCATGAGTGTGGATTCAAACCTGGATCTTCCAGATACTAGTCCAACACTCATATCATAACCCCTGCTTTTTGGGGGCGAGGGGTGTCAGATGCCCTACTTTGCTTCCTTGAATAGGTCTCAAAAAACCATCTTAGGTTAGACCAT